TGAGTAAATTAAGAAATGCGGTGCAACTTATTCATGACCATGACGAATGCGGGGCAGTTTATAACAATTAAATCGTTCCTTCTCCAAGTGCCTTCCGTATTCACCTGAACGTAAGAGTGAAATGAGCTGATGCTTCAAGAGAACAAATGTTTTCATGAGTTCTTATCTTGAAAATTACTCCTATTATACGAACCTTATATTGTCCGACCGCCATTACACCTGAATGTGCTGCGCTAAACGATGTTATCAAGGAAAAGTGTCCTGCGTGGTGAGAATGCTCGACGTTTGAAGGCAGTGCTCATGGTCAAGAGTTAGTGCGGTGAGGCAATAGGGTTCAAAGGCGTAAGGAGCCTTGAATACAGAAAACGTTCCGGTTTTTTGCAGACTGCAGATAACAAACACGAAAATGACCAACCATTAGAACTTCCATATCTTGACATCCGATGTATGAGACTATGCTACGGGCTGCTACCGCACAGACGGCTGAGACGAAAGACCTCGGTGACCAGCACCAACTACAAGACATGCACATAAGACCGGCAAGAAAGACACTTCCCAGCGACATCAGGGCAGTCATTCCGGCTCCCACATCCACCACCCGACGCCCGTTGACGCACCGAGGGCTGGCTGAAATCTAGGCCGAAAGGTTTCAATGACCCGTAACGACCATAACATAACGTAACAGCCTCCACAGCCGTTGGTGCTCAAATAAATTACGTTACACCAAGTTACCTGGCACAGGACAACGATCTCTAAAGCAACGACAAGCCATCTATTTCCACACATGTCTACATACCTCACTTGAAAAACGCCCCTTGAATCATGCCCCAGATGCCAAAAAAATGTCATCGATATATTGCATGTACAACATTTGTTCAAGAGCCCGCGAAAAGATTGCTCAAGACAATGCGTAAATGTTACAGTAGGAGTGGTACACAAAAGTTACTCATCGCCTCGCCTTTCCTCTGCTTTCCGAGCCTCCGACGCGCACCAGGTGAGCGTTGTACACGTGAGCTGGCAGTTTTGCACCGCCAACTGCGCTGATATCACGTAAACATATGCTAGCAATTTGCGTCCCCTAGATTCATCACCTTCTTTGATGTCTTGTTTTGTGAGGCCCTTGGCCTCTTTCCCCGGCGTTGACCTGGATCCCCTAATGTTGGCTTGCCCCCTCTACATTTTTGGCTAAAATATTACGAAGGCGCGGGAAAAAATTGACCAGCACACAATGCTTACGTTCTTCTCATATTGCTAGCTGGCCATAGCTGCTGTGTTTCTCAAATTAAGGAATTTCGAATCAACAGTTCCAAAACTAAACTGTCGCTTTTCAAACCAAAGTGGGCCAAACAACCAATAAACGCGATACAACGCGAAATGAAAGAAGTTGAAACGACTGCACTTGACGAGGTGTTAAACTGAATCCGTTTAAAAACATACATTTCAGAGAGGTTAGGTTATTGAGCCCTCCCAACCATTTACAAAAATACACCCTCCTCAAAGAGCATTGATACAGCCGTGGTGAAGACGGTATTACTTGGGGAACTATGTCAGGGGACAGGCTTTTCACTCTACTAAGACAAGGCTCTATTTTAGGAACGTAGGCAAGGTGTAACAAACAGCCGTTTCTGCGCTGTGCTTGAATGGTGTTTGTTATTCATGTTCTTTTCGTAAGCTTTCATGCTTATTTTGCAGGTTTTCTCCGGTGGCGTTCGAGACCGGTTTAATGAGAGCCTGGGGGACACACGCTTTCGGATAGGGTTTGTAACAACGCGGGAACACGTAGGAAAGCTAAACGCCAACGTACCATGCTGCAGCAAACGCCAGCTCCAAGTAAACAATACAACACGGACCTCAGTATAATAGAACCGCTGCACATCCGTACATCCCGAACATTTGCAGATGGCTTATGCAGATGGCTCAACACACAAACGTTGATTTGTGACGTGATTTAAGCGGCGTTTTCTGCTAATGACGTTTAGAAGTCCTCGAGTCGTTTTGAAAATGAACATTATTATTCCCAGGAAAATTTTTTAGGAAAAGATCGTGATAACTGATACTATGCAGCAAGCTATTTTCCAGCCTTTCTTCGGTATGGTATGGGTCATGGTAACATTCTGGCCGAGCCAGCTGTGTTTTGGGTAGCCCTTACTCAGCGCCGGGCGTCGATTGGTGCGTTGCGGGAGCCCGAATGACTGTCAAGGTGTCCTAAAGAAAGTGTACTTTCAACCTCTGACATGTTTGGCATCATCGACACCTTTTATAGGGAGATTTGACGTGCATTCGCGAAGCAGCCCGCTGTTATGCATGTGTGTCGAACAAATTCTCTTAAAAGTTTGTGTGTGGGTGAGTCACGGACGCTAAGCGGGCCGTGTCCCCCTACCTGGGCCAAAAGGTCTTCTCTAAGTACCGGGAAATTTCGCAGGAACTTTGCGAGAATTCACGGGATTTTGAAGAAAACATGACACCACCCTTCCCCCCCCCCCCCCTGCAAAACATTTGGCCTGCGCGACTGAACCCAGCTATAGGTGAACCCGCGCCCCCCCCCCCCCCCGACTACGGCTGGCCTGGCTGAGCAGACCTACATCAGGTGACCGCTGGCAACGATGAGGCCCGTGAGAGGTCAGATCGCCGCCTGAAGTCCAGCCTTTCCACCTGACAGCGGGCAGGGTCCGCACACCGAGCCTGCAGCTCTACGCGCAGTGGCTGTGTGGTGGAAAGGACAACGCAGATAGATGGTTCAAGCTATCACATGGCAGCCAAGGGTGTTTTTGAAAGGGTGTGGATAATGACGCGGCAATGATGCGAAGCTCGGAGGTGAACAGTGCTTCCAAGCCGCTTGGCCACCGGCCTCTTCCGGTCAGTCCCACTGCGTCCCTTCCTAAGTTTAAGTTTTTAGGTTTGAGTTTGCTCGAGGCTGCGCCCTCAGCTTCAACAGATGCTGTAGCTGGAGCTGCGAGGGGCAAGATGGCCTCCAATCCAAATCTTTGAAGTAGGTACGGCAATAAGTCAGCCTGGCAAGAAGCACAGCTGTCCTCTTCCTTCACTAAGTAAGCCTGTCCGCATACGTGGTTACCTAGGAGGCTTCTCACGCGGTGTTCTCAAGACAAAGGTAAACAGAGGGTGCTTTCAATATGAATTCGACACGACTTGTAAGTACACACTTTTTGGAAACCGGAATCCTGGGGTGAAAAACATGGACATCCCGGGATTATAAACGTGTGCATCCCGGGACTAAAAACGTGTGCATCCCGGGACTAAAAACGTGTGCATCCCGGGATTTAAAGCATGTGTATCTAGGGATCTGGGCACTCCGATCTAGTGATTGACGTCCCTAGTATCGCACCCACATGCGTTTTCGAACTCGACTGTGATTACCACGCGCACCAATACCGGGTTTACGTGCGTTGTCGTATTACGAGCTTATTCCCTGCATGACTTTGATTTTTGTCCTTCGCTGTATGCAGCTCGTCTCTGCTGAGCTTCTATCGTCGTGCTGCACTTCTCTGCCCCCGAGATGACATATCCTGGCAATGCTAGGGTATGCCAACTATCTACAATGCTCATTCACGCACCGTTTAATTTGCGGTTGCACCTCACCAAATGACAAGGTTGAAGGCGTTTCATGAACGAAGCGATAAGCTACATGTATTAAGTTACACACCCAACTGCAGAGCGGGCCGCCGAGCCAGGACTACACCATGACACGCCACTCCGACATGCCACCGACACGAAGCCCTAATTACCCTCCAGTCGCACGCCAACTAATGCCTTCCACAGCAACCCAGAATCGACGCAACTACCGCCGTCCGATTCGGTCGACACGGCCCCCGTATCGGTTCGGGATGATTCACACGGAGCTGCGGCGCCCGCTCCCACGTCAGGGCGCCGACCCACTGGACCGTCGCCGGAGCCGGCAGCGCGGGCGCCGCCGCGGGTCACCGGGCACGGCGCATACCTGCGGCCGCTCCCCTCGACCCGCGAAACCGAAGCCGGCGCGGCGACCTCGCGCCGATATCGATGTCTCTGCGGCAATGTCGGTGCCTTTTTGCCGCGGCACGGTGGCCGCCGGCAGCAGCGCAGGCCTCTGCTTCTTGCGGCTGGAGGGGGCGGCAAAAACAGGCGCGGCTTCTGTATCGGCTGACGCGGTCCCGTCGCCGGCAGCAGGCCCCGTCGCCGGTAATAAGGCCCGTCGCTGGTAACAGTCCCCGCCGCCGGTAGCAGGGCCCATCGCCAGTGGCAGGTCCCGTCACCGGTAACAGTCCCCGTCGCCGGTAACAGGCCGCGTCGCCGGTAACAGGGCCCATCGCCGGTGGCAGGTCCCGTCACCGGTAACAGTCCCCGTCACCGGTAACAGGCCGCGTCGCCGGCAACAGGGTCCATCGCCGGTGGCAGGTCCCGTCACTGGTAACAGGGCTCATCGCCGGTGGCAGGTCCCGTCGCCGGCAACAGGGCCCATCGCCGGTGGCAGGTTCCGTCATCGGTAACAGGGCCCATAGCCGGTGGCAGGTCCCATCACCGGTAACAGGGCCCATCGCCGGTGGCAGGTCCCGTCACCGGTAACAGGGCCCATAGCCGGTGGCAGGTCCCGTCACCGGTGACAGGGCCCATCGCCGATGGCAGGTCCCGTCACCGGTAACAGGGTCCATCGCCGGTGGCAGGTCCCATCACCGGTAACAGGGCCCATCGCCGGTGGCAGGTCCCATCACCGGTAACAGGGCCCATCGCCGGTGGCAGGTCCCGTCACCGGTGACAGGGCCCATCGCCGGTGGCAGGTCCCATCACCGGTAACAGGGCCCATCGCCGGTGGCAGGTCCCGTCACCGGTAACAGGGCCCATCGCCGGTGGCTGGTCCCGTCGCCGGCAACAGGGTCCATCGCCGGTGGCAGGTCCCGTCGCCGGTAACAGGGCCCATCGCCGGTGGCAGGTCCCGTCACCGGTAACAGGCCGCGTCGCCGGCAATAGGTCCCGTCGCCGATAACAGGGCCCATCGCTGGTGGTAGGTCCCGTCACCGGTAACAGTCCCCGTCGCCGGTAACAGGGCCCATCGCCGGTGGCATGTTCCGTCGCCGGTAACAGGCGGGTCACGTCCCCGGCTGACCTTTGGCCCCACGCGTCTGTGTGGTCTGTCTGTTGTGCGGGTTCTCGCGGCGCCTGCGGAGATGGCGCGCCTGACCGTGTATTGCAAGAGACGTAGAAGCACGCGGTGTTTCTTAGCCGCGAGCTGCTTGTACATCGCTCCGCCGTGGAGGCGTCATTCTGTCTGAAACGGCGCTGCTTCTCACCGCCATTGGCCTGGCGCCCATCTGCAGTGTCCCAACCGCGCTCCGGTGGCGCCTCCCACATAACACGACCACGATCCAGACTGCGGTGCATTTCTGACACACAAAGCAGCCCACATCCGCCTGCCGGTCCCCGCAAAACACAGCCAGCCCGTCCCATCAGAGGGCGGGCGTCGGCGGCCGGCCGCTGCACGCGCCGGACACATCCCCGGCCGCGCCCCAGCGGAGCCGAGCCCGGCACCGACACTCGGCTCAGCATCATCAGCGTTAGCCCAGCGCCGGCTCGGCACCGGCGCCCTGGTCGTAGCACACCCCGTTCAGCGCCGGTGCTCGGGTCAGCCTCAGCAGCAGCAGCGGCCCGCTCACGGTCAGCTCAGCTCAGCTCAGCACCAGCGCGTGCAGGCGGCTGGCGGTCAGCACCAGCAGGAAGCGGGCGGCGGCGGCCACGCCCAGGATGGGGTCCGAGTCCTCCAGACTGACCACCTGCTGGCGCGACACCTGGCGGCGGGCGGCGGCGGGTCAGAGTACCGTCGCGGACACGTGTCACGGGCCGGCTCATCGCTCAGGTGGCCGTCATGTGACAGGCAACGGTGGGTCAGAGTACCGTCATGGACACGTGTCACGGGGCCGGCTTATCCCTCGGGTGGCCGTCATGTGACAGTGAGCTGAGGGCCGAGCGGCGAGTCAGAGTACCGTCACGGACACGTGTCACGGGGACGGCCCATCCCTCAGGTGGCCGTCATGTGACAGTGAGCTGAAGGCCGGTCGTACTGAGGTCAAATTATGCTCACATGGGGGTCAAACATACACCGGACGTCAAGTGACAGACCACACAGCCGGCTGTCACACAGGGACTGAGCCCTCAGCTGGAGCCAGTTGACTTTCGAACAACTGTCAATGTCAGACAAGCCCCGGTACGCTTCAGACTGACTGACAGATGGAGACCATGTCTCTCCGCTATCGAACTCAAAATAAACGGGCCCATGGTCGAGTACAAACGCGCAACACCGAGACAGAGCCACCTATCGGTGAGAATCAAAACCGAAGTTACATGCGTTGCTCACCTCGGTAATTCGCTGCCCTGACCGGCGATTGCGCAGTTCTCCGCAGACGGGCGACGGTTGGTGGTAGATGTACACGTGACGGGACGTCTCGCAGATCACCGCGTATGACATGTCTGAAAAGCCATCCAACGGTCATCCGCACGCATGCGACAAAACAACCATCCGCTCGTCGCGGACGTGTGCAGCAGGAACATACTTCAAAAAACTGCCGAGTATGTCTGACAGCAAACCCGGACACCTGGACGTGAAACTACCATGCTGCAGCCTTGCAAATAACTCTCCACTGACTTTCCCTTAGGCCTATACAAGTCTACACTAAATGCATAAGCTGGACACACACACACGCACGCGTTGTGTACAGCACCAGCTACACCACGTCCCCCGCAAAGCGCACTGACCTGGGGCGCACGTGAGGAACTTGCGCTGCTGTTTGGAGGCCTGCACGTATCCGAAGGCGTTCAGCGTGCCGACGTGGTCACAATACCATCTGCCGATCATATTTAAACAAGGTATCGGTCCAATGCACAGCAAGGGAACCCGATAGGGAACTCGTCGTGCTTATCTGTCCACAAGCATACGCTGTGTAAACAGCAAATGCCCGGACTGCATCAAAGTTCAAAACGCCATGCACACAGTGAACAAAATAATATCTGCATGGCATGGCAGGCGGGCACAACGGCAGACTCGGTGGCATGTAGCTAGACTTACACCACGTAAGAACGCGGACCGACCGATGAGCCTACACATGTAACGTGTGGCCAGCCACCGCGCCCTTCCCCCCCCCCCCCCCTCCCCCCCCCCCCCGGACAGCGGCCCGCCCGCGCGGCGCGGCGCCGCCACTGACCGTCCCGCCCTGGCGCGGGGCTGCCAGAGCAGGGCGCCGCCACTGACCGTCCGTCCCGGGCGCGGGGCTGCCAGAGCAGGGCGCCGCCACTGACCGTCCGTCCCTGGCGCGAGGCTGCCAGAGCAGGGCGCCGCCACTGATCGTCCCGCCCTGGCGCGGGGCCGCCAGAGCAGGGCGCCGCCACTGACCGTCCGTCCCTGGCGCGGGGCTGCCAGAGCAGGGCGCCGCCACTGATCGTCCCGCCCTGGCGCGGGGCTTCCAGAGCAGGGCGCCGCCACTGACCGTCCGTCCCGGGCGCGAGGCTGCCAGAGCAGGGCGTCCACGTCGTGTCGCACGCAGAGCGCCGGGGGCTCGGCGGCCGCCAGCCGGGCTGTCAGCACGTACTGGTGACTGTCCAGGCTGGTCTGCGGGCGCGGGGAGCTCGTGGGTTATCAGGTCGGGAGCAGATCCCGTGCCATGTTCAGACCCGGTGGGTAGAGGTGCATGCACTAAACGCGTTTCGATTGGCAACACGTGAGCCGCCGCTCTGGGACCGATCACAGCCATCACGGTTTCTCGTAGCACACTGCGCGTTCGTGATCAAGCTGCGTACCCCGCCGTCTGTTGGGCACAACAGAACTGTGGAATCACTCGAGGTGGTCCTGACTTCTTGCAAATGACTGCATTGCCTCCCACTCCCCACGTTCTGCCAAGACTTCAAAGCGGAACTGCTACATCCCCGTCCCGGCTGGAGAGCGTCATCGCCGACGGCGGGCCCCGGCGAGCGACAGCTGGCGCCCGCCGCATCCGGTGCCGCTCGCACCTGATGAGTGGGGGCGTGAGTGTCGCCATCCAGCCGCAGCAGGGCGGCGCTCGCCTCCGGGAAGTCGTCGCAGTCCTCCAGTTCCGCCACGTTGTAGGCGTCGGCCGCGTCCGGCTTGGGGTTCTGTCGACCAGGCGACGGGGGTCGGCATAGGCTTCTTCGACACGGGCGGGGGCCGGCACGGGGGAGATGACTGCCTGGGCGGGGTGTCGGCACGGATGGGGTGTCAGCACAGGCGGGGTGTTGGCGCGGGCGAGATGCCAGCCTGGGCGGGGCGTCGGCACGGATGGTGTGTCAGCGCAGGCGGAATGTCGGCACGGGCGGAATGTCGGCACCGGCGGAATGTCAGTCTGGGAATGCCTGACAGCTTACACATACATCCACGCCCTGCGAACTATGTCCGCGACGCCCATACTCCGCATTCGTAGCATCTCAGTCAAAACCCAATTTTTCGCCAGCACATACAAATTTTACCAGTGCAATAGCCCATCACATCATACCTACCGACAGAGCACCTTCACAACATCGCACCATAGTACGGCAGGGGGCAATTCCGTCGCCACCGTATCCAGTGTCTTCACGCCAGGCTAAAATCCAACTGCTTCCACGCTGCTGGATCGAAACCGCTAAGCACCCGGACGGCACGGAGCTGCGCGGCCGTCACTGTCCCGCCCTCACCTCGGCGTCGGAGGTGAGATGGGCCAGCCGCTGCGCCATTTCGCCTGCCAGCTCGGGGTCAACTATCTGCTCGCCGCGGCCGTCGCCCGGCAGCAGCTCCGGCCACACCTGACCCCGCTCCACCTTGGCCAGCACCACCTCCAGTCTGGCGGAGGTGAGAAGCGCGGTCACGGGCAGACCGGTGGTGGACGGGCCGCGGGCGTCGCTGGCGTCAGCGGTCGGGGAGCGGGACGGGCCGCGGGCGTCGCTGGCGTCAGCGGTCGGGGGAGCGGGACGGGCCGCGGGCGTCGCTGGCGTCAGTGGTCGGGGAAGCGGGACGGGCCGCGGGCGGTGCTGGCGTCGGCGGTCGGGGGAGCGGGATGGGCCGCGGGGGTCGCTGGCGTCGGCGGTCGGGGAGCGGGACGGGCCACGGGCGGCGCTGGCGTCGGCGGTTGGGGGAACTGGAGGGGCCGCGGGTGGTGCTGGCGTCGGCGGTCAGCGGGGGAGGGGGGGGGGGCTGAATGGGCCGCGGGCGGTGCTGGCGTCAGTGGTCGGGGGAGCGGGACGGGCCGCGGGCGGTGCCGGCGTCAGTGGTCGGGGAGCAGGACGGGCCACGGGCGGTGCTGGCGGCGGCGGTCGTAGGCCGTTGTCAGTGTCAGGGTGTTCGCGGTAGTGACCACTGGAAGAGGATGTTCAGTGTTCGCTTTGTTCTTCACATGGAAAGCATCTTTGGGGCCAGAGGTCGCATCACCGATGGCATCCGTATGGCCATCGGCCCTGGATTGCTGCAGAAACCAACCTTCGTCTCCCGAACAGTGTCAGGGGGCGGGGGGGGGGGGGGGTGATCCAAAACATCGGACTGGGACGGAAAACCTGTCAACAGATGCTGTGCTGGGAATAACAATTGGCGTTATAGAGGACAATGGAAGACCCGCTCACTGCCATCCTTCGCGGACATAAGGTCAGCATTCGCCGCAGCAAAGCCCTGTGGGTGGTCATTGCGAGCATGGCAGGGTCCAGTTACCACGAGCGTCGGCCTCGAGCCTGCCACAGGCCACCGTCCTGCAGAGTACATTGTGACGAGCTGCTGTACGCTATAACATGCACGTCACCCCTGCTGCCCTGCCCTCATCCCCGTCATCACCACGGACGTCACCTGCCGTCGTCGTTGGTCCAGGTGCTCTCGTCCAGCCGGATGGCGGCGGCCAGGGTGCCCCGCAGCAGCGTGGTGCCTCCGGTCGTCACCGTCAGCACGTGCGGCTCCAGCACCACCCGCACCGTCTCACCGTCGCCGCCGCCGCCGCCGCCAGCGCCGGCCGACAGCTGCACCGTGACGTCATCAGCCGTCTGGCTCCACACGTAGAGCGGTGCTGACGGCGGCGCTGGTGGCACACGGCGGGTATGACCACAGGCTGGGATACAGTGCTGTGTTCAGAGCCGAGATTCGCGTGCGACCTTCAGAACCGAGGGGAACGTTCAGCGTTCGGAACAGGGAAGCCTGAAGCGATCCAGCTGGTCGTTCTTATGCATACAAAAATCATCCATGTGGATAGTGCTATCACCCATGGTTAGTTCAAATTTTTCCCGATACCACATCTTCATCCAAAAACAGCCCATCATCGGATCAGCAGATCCTCACCTGACGAACGGTGACACAGGTATGACCACCTCGCCTCAACTGAATGCACGAACAACATTTAACCAACCTCTCCAAGCACTCCCTCTCCACATGTGGAGCCTGACCACATCAAGGGAGGCCTTTACCTGCGGAGCCTGACCTCACCAGAGGAGGTCTTCACCTGTGGAGCTGGACCTCGCCAAGGGAGATCTCCACCCGCAGTCTGACCTCACCAAGGGAGGTCTCCACCTGCGGAGCCTGACCTCTTCAGAGGAGGTCTTCACCTGCGGAGCCTGACCTCACCAAGGGAGGTCTTCGGCACCAAGCCTGGCCTCACCAAGGGAGGCCTTTACCTGCGGGGCCTGGCCTCACCAAGGGAGGTCTCCACCCGCAGTCTGACCTCACCAAGGGAGGTCTCCACCCGCAGTCTGACCTCACCAAGGGAGGTCTCCACCCGCAGTCTGACCTCACCAAGGGAGGTCTCCACCCGCAGTCTGACCTCACCAAGGGAGGTCTCCACCTGCAGAGTCCGACCTCACCAAAGGAGGACCGGCACCAGACGCGACCCCCGACCCCTGACGACAGGCCTGCCCTTACCTGCGGCTTCGGCCGGGGTCGGGGCCGGCGCCGGCGCCACCGGCCGCTCCGTGTCGCGTATGAAGGCGGCCGGCCGGTCCGCGGCCACACACAGCGCCTGGCCCGCCGCGTCCAGCGCCGCGTAGTGGACGGTGCTGGCAGTGGCCGCCTGACGCAGCCGCTCCAGCCGCCAGGCGGCGCCACCTGCGGGCCGGAGGCTGCGGTAGAGGCGGGCAGGGTGGCGGGAGCGTGCGCGCTGGACATGGGCATTAGGAGCGAGGTGTCGGGTCAGGTCTGATGCCACGCTCAGACAGCGAGGAGATGAAAGCGCGGGTGCGCACCGAGCCCACTCGTAATGGAGTGGCTGATGCAAGTATGCCTCATACATGTCACAGCTATTCTTAAGGATACTGTGCCATTTACTCACTAACTTAGCCAATTACACACTCCTTGGTGCTAGACAGCAAGTGAGGACCATTGATGCATTCAATCAGCCACTTTCTCAAACACATTCCAGCACCTATCGCTGTGGATATTTAACTTTTATCCAGCTCCACATACTGAGCCTCGCCCTCACCCAGCCACACGAAACAGTGCACGATGCACACTCACTCACTCACACTCTCACCCAGCACAGCAACCGTGCACGCCCGCGTCCGATGCCGCCGCCCGGCACGCACCCTTAACGAACGTGAACCAGGTGAGCAGGTTGACGAACGCGCCGTCGTCGCTGTGTTGCTCCCGCCACTCGGGCACGGCGCTACCCTCGGCCACGTGACCGGCCAGCACGTGGAGTCGGCCGGCCGCGTCCAGCACCGAGTGCTGCAGCACGAAGCCACGGCCCTCCAGCAGCGAGTCGCTGAACTGGATCTGTCAACGAGAGGCCAGCGTCAGGGAAGGGGCCTGGGCAATCGAGACTGCGATCCGAGAGGCCGGCGTCAGGGAAGGGGCGACGGCAGTCGGGACTGCGACCCGAGAGGCCCGGCTGAGGGGAGATGCTTTGGTAGTCGGGACGGCGACCCGAGACGCCGGGGTCAGGAAGGGGCGACGGCAGTCGGGACTGCGACCCGAGAGGCCCGGCTGAGGGAAGATGCTTTGGTAGTCAGGACGGCGACGCGAGAGGCCCGGCTGAAGGTGGCAACGCCGAATTATGCTGACCAGTGATGCTGGACACATGCCGGTGTCGGTAAGGTCGGAGTTCTACACTGATGCCGGATGTAGCGCTTCCGTTGTGGCCGGCAAAAAGACAACCTACTACGAACGAAGATGAGGTTTTTTGCCCATATTTTGTTCTGCTGTTTGACCATGCTGCAGAAGAGGAGCATTGGCTTATTTGACCATGCTGCACAGGAGGGGTATTCGCTTATTTGACCATGCCCAGAAGAGGAGCATTGGCTGTCAGCAGCCACAGAAGTGTGTCGCCATCGGCTCGTCGGTTACCGGACTAGCAGCTACTGCTAACAACCTGTCAGCTTTTTGTTGCATCATTTTCACCTAGAGAGTCTCAAATAATACCAAGAGTCCCAAAAGCACCACACACTGTCCACCACGCACAGTGACAAAACGACGCTAGCTGGCCATGCAACATACCAACAACAGTCCTGTGACATGTCACAGGCGAACAGCAGCCACGAGACCCCGGCGGCGGCGCCGGGTCGGCCGGCGTACCTGCCAGGGCTGGGACAGGGCGCGGTCACCGGTGTCCACCAGGTGGAGCCGGCCCCGGCCGTCCGACACGAGCGCCAGCCGGTCGGAGGCGAAGCTCAGCGATGGGTGCGTCGGCTCCGGGCGCGGCGACTCGCTGGCGGGCAGCTGCAGCACCGGCACGGAGCGCACCGCCGCCGGCAGCGCCTGGCCGCAGTCGCGCGCGCCGTCAGGTACAGATGGGAGCTGTTGGTGGTGGGGCTGACATGCTGATGGTGGGTGGGTCTTACAAGATGGTGCTGTGTGGAGCCTGACACTGCTGCTGATGAGGGGGGACAAGACAGGACAGGAGTCTGGGACATGATACCTGGCACTGCTGCTGATCCAGCTGGCCTCTGCCATGAGGGCAGACAGGGCAGAGGTGGGTGGGAGCTGGGAAACTATATCATGAGAAGTGGAAGCTCTTGCAAATGAGGAAACACTATCAGACCATCAGACTATCTATCAGGGAGACTATCAGACAGGAGACTATGAGAAAGTACTGAGCCCATAAGCACCAAGCCCACAAGCCCAAGCCCAAGTGAAAGCGCATATTCTAAGCTGTCTGCATTGCTGCAGATTGGCCCATGGAAACAATGTGTTGGCAGCATGGGACCAGTGAAGAAAAAACATTGGATAGTGGTCCACAGATGGCAAACACATGACAACACAGGAATTTGAAATGAAGGGAGACTGATGAAACTTATATTCATGGAGTTAGCCATAAAGTAAAACACTGACAATGACATTGTAGCCCTGGGTTCATTAACATCTTAGACCATGGCCACAGCTTTGTTTACATTTGCTTTGTTTACATATCCTAACTGCACTGGCCAATGATCTGTGGGATTCCAGAGCTGCTCTATCAACACCAGATCAAATAAATCACATACTACTGAAAATTGATTATTTGTACAGCAGTGCAAAATGGGACACAATTGTCCTTCACAGATCCTTTGATACTTACTGGCCCTATCCCAACCTGACAAACACTTCCAGTTGCAGAGAAGTAGAAGCTCTGGTCAGGGGCCCATGGGTCTGGCCACAAATGGTTGTGGAGAGCATATAGCCGCACTTGCTGGTAGGAATAATTGCTGGAGGATTCCGGAGCTTGTAGAACCCCTGAAAATAATAAAACCAGCTATGATTATATATATATACACACACACACACACACATATATATATATATATATATATATATATAGCTTACTTGCTAAAATTGCTAACTTTTAACCAACATGACAAATCTAGGAAAAATCATTGGGGCTTTACACATCAATGTTCAACAAGGCTATTTTGGGACAGACACATTCATTAGTGTGTCATGTAGCATGCATTGGTGGCGTGACAGCAGCCTCAACCCAATGCCTACAGGTCCAGAGTCAAACCCCTAACCACTATATCATCACTGTCCCCAACATAAAAGTTTAATGTGTGCAGCTGCGTGATTCAAAATTGCAAGTTGGCAACCAGCTAGGGTCAAGCAATTCAAAGCAATGTGAGGCAGGGGTAACAATCAAGACTAACAAACCATGCCAGGCATGCCAGGCCAGAAAATGGCTTGCAAATGAGTGACAATCAAGTAAATGCAGGTCAGTTAACCCCAAAACTAGCACATCAGAATATATTAAACCACACACACTAACCTTCTTCAACATGCTTGGAATGAATAGCAATCTTGTCTAAATTTAATTTATAGCCTTCAAAATTCGGGTCTAACAGATCCCTGTTCGGCTTCAGAACGAAGGATTCGGTCTCCATTGCTTTCCTGATGTCCAGCGCACGATCAAATGCAGGTTGAACTGAAGACGCGTGTCACAGTATCATTCATGCAAATCGCGCCAGAAAACGGGAAGACAAATCTCAAGCTGCTTGAGCGCGGCTGGACCGCAATGTACAGCGCCCCGCCGCGCGAAAAGCAGTCGAAGAGTGTGATGTGGCGGCCCTCATTTACGGCTATCTGCGCCACTTTGGAGCAAATATGTTTTTGCGCGGGCCTATTTGAGCACCAAAAAAAGCAAAAAAAATATGCAAAAAATGCAAAAGCAACTGTTCAGTTCGCATTGAAACCTGAGGCTGAAATGACCCCTATTGCGTATAAATGTGGTCCACAGTTCAACGTGGGGACCACCACAACCGGAGCAGTATGGATCAACGGTAGGGAGGCAGGTAGCTAGTGAGTGCTTATAGTGGGAAGCGTCAACATTCCGGCCAGTCAGGCAGGCCCCTATTTTGAAGCTCATTTTTATCCATGGATTAACTTATGGTCAGGTAGTACCAGTATTTCGCGCAATATAGCAATGGTTGTGGACCTCAGTCCAGTGGTGCAGGCAGGGAGCACAGTGAGCATATGCCCCCCCCCCCCCCTCCCCCTATAAGGATCGGAGGGGTCCTTCGAAACCCGCGGGACTTCCAATTAAGGGCCGATTTGAGTGCCTGAAAGGCTAGCCGAAGGTCTATTCAGGGGCCCGGCCCATAGGATCGGACACTTAAATTGTTAGACAGACGGCCCTCTCTGCCGGCAAAGGGCCGTGTTTGCGGAGATTCAAGGAGGGGCTCGAAGGGTTCCTCGAGACCAAAGATCAAGGGCCCGATTAGACTCGGACCAGGTCCCCCACCCGTATAGCCGTGACTTGAAATATCAGTCAGAGGGGTTCTGTTATGTCATCTGATTAGGGCTTTCTAGCAGGGGGCGAGTCCAGAAGAGGGATGCACAGGGCCATGGCCCCACCTGGGTCCTGAATCGGACCATAGGTTCCGAAAGGGCCCATAGCCGGCCAAATAGTTTTAAAAAAAACACACAAAACGCAACAAATTGGACGTCTTTGAACTTCCAGACGGCCAAGCACAGCCACAAGCAAAAGAGAAGGGCTTACCAGTATACAAAAACAATTCTTCGCCGATTGGGAGGATGGTGATTGGGAGTTTTTAAGGCTCCTTACGCTGTCCAGAGACCCTACGCTGTTTCCAGGGGCCCTAAATATCCACTTGCAGAGTCAATCCAATTGTTCAGGAGCCTTTTACATTGCCCTTGATTTATTTGCATTTCCTCCGGGGCCCTGCGCTTTTACTGGTGCCCTCCCTGCTCGCGAGCCGGATACTCTTGTCAATCAGGTGTCCTCCACGATTATTCCCATTCCCTCGGAAAGCTTTATACGCTATAACCGGGCCCCAATACGTTAAACTGCCGGTGTATTCTCGGTTGCTCAGGGACCCATCACGTTGATCTCGGTCCATGTACTGATACACTCGCGGTATGCTCATGGGCCCTCTACATTGATCTAAGGCCCGTCCAATCCTCTGCTGTGTGCTTATGGTCTTCCTGTCGGGGCCTTATCTGTTAACCTGCTTGAGCATACTCGGCCGTTCGGGGCCCTCCAAACTACGCCTAGGGTACTTCCTATTTGAACATAGAGCAGGGAGGGCACCAATAGTCTTGAGTGTCTTGAGTGTCTTGATTGCTTATATCGACCAGATGACAACTCACACCAGCCAATAGACAATCACACCAGAAAATAATATCTCCAACAATCATGCCGCCTCCCTGGCCGGAAAAACTGCATCGCTCATGCTCGTTCACATTGTTCCCGGGAGCACGGGCCCGACCTTGTCAAGGCTCCATATGCCACCGTCTGCGCAAGATATTGCATCACGTTGTCGCTGTTTCGCCAATTCCCAATGTCGCCCCATTCGCTGCCTCACTCCGCGAGCCAGCTCTGAGTACAAACGGTCCAGGCTCTGGTCCAGGGTCTGGCTGTGTCATGCTCTACCAAAGCAGGCCTTCTGAGGAGCGCGAGGCTGCGGCCTGATGCCGGGTCGTCTCGGAAGCCTTCATTAGAGGCCACCGGCGGCGGGGTCTGCAGCGGCACTCCCGACATCAGAAAACGCCGAGTGTCCGCGGGGACCCGTCCCACCCGGGCTCGGTGGACTCCAGGCGTTCCGCGTCCAGGGAAGCCGGCGGAACATGCCTCCAGCGAATGACAGACAAAATACATATCCAGGGAAGAGTACAACTGTGGATTGCATTAGTCGGGGCACGCTGAAGTGTTGACATGGAAGCTGCACTTCAAACTCGGTACTGATATGCCAGTGATTATTATGATACCCTGGAATGACAACGGCCAGCACTTAGACAACACATCAGCACATAAGAGCCGTCATGAAGGAACCTTACAATAGTGAGCAATTTCGTTTATAAGAATGTCTCAACACCTGCTAACAATGAACAAAAAATTAGCATTCATGTCGCCAACATCTTATCTGCACGGTGCACTCCACATTGAAAACAAAGCAAGATTAGTTCCACACAAAAAACACAGGCGCTTCGATCACCAGGCACACCTTCGAACCACGCGCGTGCCACCTCCGCGCGCACTGTCCTCCTATCGCCGCTGCCAGCGCCGCCAGCGGCGCGCGCTCGGCGGCCGGCGCGGCACCAGCGGCATCACAGCAGGATCTTGTACTTGACCTGGCGCGGCACGCGGCTGACCACCAGTCGGCCGTCGTAGCTGAGCGAGGCGAACGTCCACGGGTCGGCCGAAGACCACTCGGCCGCGTACACCGAGTCCTCGTGCTCCTCGCAGCGGCACAGCTGGCCGTCCTCCAGGCGGGCTCTGTGTGAGGGCGGTCATCAGAGCAGACCGCGGCCATAGGTCGAGGCCGGGCCCGGTGGGAGCGGACAGTCCGCGTCAGGGCAGGGAAGGACGGTGTGGGTCGGGCACACGGGGTCGGCCGCGGGGCAGCTGTGACATACGGAGGGTTCTTCACTGGGCGGGACGACGGTCAACGCGGTAAGCCGACACGGCCGGCGCCATGACGCACAGCTCGGCACAGGCATCATGTGCGTGACAATAAACGACATATCATGACTCGTGACCATCGTGATATAGCCGGTTCGCTGGCGTACGGACAAATGCCGCACCCCGGCACCATCTCTGTGTATGACCAGGCCCTGTCTTCTCGCTTGCCTAGGGAGACCAACAGTCCTGCGCCCACAGCGGGTCTTAGCCACCACGGGAGGGCTTCATCTCGCCTGCCCGCACCGAAGGCCCGCGTCCTTCCACCCACCGCGAGAGGAGTGGCACTCCTCGCTCCTCACCAGTGGTCCAGTCCTCGGACCGGCACGGGAGAACTCGTCCCCGTCCTCTTACTTGCCGCAGAACAACACATGCTCGTCCTCTCAAGGGGGAGGGAGGCCGCAGGGGACTGGGGGGACCTCCCACCCGCCGTGGGGACCTCGTCCCACCCACTCGTCCCCATTATTTTACCTGCTCTGGGAGGGCTCGTCCTCGTCCTCCTCCAGCAGGTGGCCGAACGGCTCGGAGCTCAGCGAGGCGGCTGACGTCAGCAGCACGCGCCAGTCGCTCGATGACGTCAGCACCAGCTGATCGTGGAAGTGGTTGAAGCGCACCGTCCACACCCTGCGGCACGGCAGACGGAGTCAGTGCACTGGTGCTACGTTTGTTCTTACCAGCAGGTGCACCCGGTCGTTCTACAGAGGCCAGTATTGCACCCGAGTGATTTGCGGGAGGATGTTTCGTGATGCGTTGGGGAACAGATGTGCGATAGTGTGCGGGTATGGTTCGATAGGCTGGGCAGCGGTTCAGCAGTATACATAAATGACGCACGATTCAGCAGCGCCGCAATTCACCGGCTTGTCCGGCTGGCCGCACGTGCCAGTTGGAGCTGCTAGGGCTGTGCGGACACGGCCGCACGTGCCAGTGGGAGCCCCTAGGGCTGTCCGGACACGGCCGCACGCGCCAGTGGGAGCTGCTAGGGCTGTCCGGACACGGCCGCACGCGCCAGTGGGAGCTGCTAGGGCTGTCCGGACACGGCCGCACGTGCCAGTGGGAGCCCCTAGGGCTGTCCGGACACGGCCGCACGCGCCAGTGGGAGCTGCTAGGGCTGTCCGGACACGGCCGCACGTGCCAGTGGGAGCCGCTAAGGCTGTCCAGGTGCAGTGCAGCTGACTCCTAAACTTGCCCTGTAAGGTGCCCCATCGGTTCTCACATGCTCCTGATGCTTACTGAGCTTTAGCGGCACCGAACGCTCAGAAATACCAATGAATAGCGGGCAACTCAAACACCACAATGCACACCCAGTTCTGAACGGGCGCACATTGTGCGCTCCCGCTGCCTGCCGCCGTCCACTCACCAATGGGAGTGATCAGCAATGACCTGGAGCGGCTCCGTCGGCTTCCGGATGTCCCAGAACTTCACCCGACAATCGTCCCCGCAGGTGGCCAAGTAGTACTGCTTATTCGGGTTGAAGTCCATGTCTCTGTACGCGTGGCGATAGAAGGCGATGACACGGCGGGCAGGTCTCAAATCATCACGCGGACCAGGTACGCAGCGCCCTCAAGCTCCCAGTCCATGGCATGTAGTGCCGCGTCTTTTATGCATAGACAGACGCTTCCCCACACCGGTCAGCGACACCCGAGCGCAAGCGGGACAAGGTTCGCACTCCAAACTCCGTGGTACATACCGTCCTCCAGGAAACTCCACCAAGGACATCGGCATTTACAGCGATTCAAGCATCGCATCGCAACACCCGAGTCCGACTCCAAATCTCGTGTAATGCGGGATATATGTCACTGGCGTCATCTTGACAATTCAAGGAGAGGTCACAATGACCATACGTCGTGTCACAGTATATGTAGGGGGGGGATGGGGGCGGGGGGCGGAAGCAAGTCCCCAAACTTTGCGCAACTAAACATGTCACACCTGCGCCTGTGGTGGTGTCTGCGAACGTACCGTCGGAACAAGCGCTCTCACCCCAGCCTAGGACGTTCCCGCACTTTTTACCGCGGCGGAGTACCCTCCCCCCTCCGCCCGTGTTCCAGTCATCACACTTGCACTGCCGCGAGGCTCAGCGGTATCTGGCGGAGTACCCCCCCCCCCCTTCCCCGCCCCTGTTCCAGTCATCAATCTTACTGTCGCGTAGC